GATCACACAGGGCACACTAAAGACCCAAGGGCCGGCTGTGTGACAGGCCACTTCTAGTTCTAAGGCACCGCTACTCACAGCAGCAAACACACGGACAGCACCCTGCCAGCGCATTACACTTACTGCTTCTGGCAATCAGATAAGGGCAGATTTACTCCCCAGGTGAAAAATGGACCTGAAGCAGGAGAAGTTAAGGAGCCTGCCAGGGTCACAGAGCCATGGGGAGCCGGGGCTCAGGCCTAAGCAGTCTGACGCCTCAGTCCTGGCTCCTTTTTCTTTTGTTATTTACTCACTTGGCTGCATCAGGTCTTAGTCGCGGCACACAGGGTCTTCCTTGTAGCACGCAGGCCTAGCTGCTCTGTGGCACGCAGGGTCTTGGTTCCCCTGGCCAGGGATCGAACCCGTGTCCCCTGCACTGCAAGGGGGATGCTAAACCCCCGGACCATCAGGAAGTCCCCACAACCCTTGCCCTTAACCACACCCGACGCTTTCTGTCCACAGCCACAGTCTGGGCTACAGTACACACCGCTTTGCACTTTCCAGAAAAGGAAACTGAGGCCCAGGGAGGTAGGGGTACTTTCCAAGGACACAGCCAGGAGAGAGGCGGGCATGGCCGGCCCTGCAGCCCGCAGTGGCAGGCTCAGCGGGGGGGTGGGGGTGGGACAGCCTGTGGCCCTAGGCCTCACCCGGACCCCCCAGCCGCGCCCCCTCTTCTCTGCGCTGGCCCTGGGTTCCCCTCATCCTCCCGCCCTCCAAGTGGGTCTGTGGAGTCGAGGCTGACTTGTCTCTCGCCTCCCTGGCGGTGCTGTGTCCCCAGCACATGTGGGTGGGCACAGAGCTCAACGCCCACTGATGCTGAACCACCAAGACAACACGTCCAGCCCTGAGCTGGGTGGAGCCACAGCACTACCCAACACAAGCGCTCACGACGGGCCCTCTGACTGCGCGCTGTCTCCTGGGGGGCTGGGGCAGGTGTGTGTGAGTGACACTGAGAGCTGTCTCCTGGGTGTGTGTGTGTGAGAGAGAGAGACACTGTGAGCTGTCTCCTGGGTGTGTGTGTGTGTGTGAGACAGAGAGACACTGTGAGCTGTCTCCTGGGTGTGTGTGTGTGTGTGTGTGACACTGCGAGCTGTCTCCTGGGTGTGTGTGTGTGTGTGTGTGTGTGACACTGTGAGCTGTCTCCTGGGTGTGTGTGTGTGTGAGACACTGCGAGCTGTCTCCTGGGGGTGTGTGGCCTCTGGAGGCAGATGGTGCATCTGGCAGTGTCTGTTTAGGGCGTCTGAGGAGCCCAGGTCCCCTCCTCTGAGCTGTCCCCAAGTCCCCACGAGGCCGAGCCCGGCCCTCTCAGGCCCCATTTGACAGGAAGGATGTGGGATTTCTGCTCAGCCTGCGTGACCGCCTGGGCTAGGGGCCAGGACCGAGCAGGCCTGTCCCGACCACCAGGACGGCCAGTGACGGGAGAGCGGAGCGAGTCAGCAGCGCTGTGGCCTGGAGAGCTGGGACTGGTTCTTCCCATCAGCTCTGACACCCCCTGCCCTGCGGGAACTGACAGAGGCCCCTGTGCCCTTCCCGTGAGCACCTTCATTACCTCACGGGGCCCCAAGTGGTTTCTGACCCTGACGTCTTAGACAGACCCTGGCTGCCACAGGGCAAGGCCCTAATCTTTTTCTGGTCGTGCTTTCTCTTCTGGAAAACGGAGCCAATCTCTCTCTTTCTCTCTCACACACACACGCATGAAGGCATCCAGAAGCAGTCACTGAGATCACTGGTGTGACGCGTTTGGCGGGAGGCTGGTGTTGGCTGGCCGGCCGGCCGTCAGAGGGCCCCAAGCTGACATCTGGCAGCACCTGGAGAGCGAGCGGCGCCTGGGCAAACAGAGGCTTGGCACTGCCCAGAGGCTCCTCTGGCTCCGCCCGCGGGCCAGTTGCATCCACCTGTCTTCGGCCACCTGGCTCGGAAATACTGATCGCACCACTCCTGCTTGCCTGGAGACAAATATTTACCCAGGGCTGGGCACCTGAGGACACAGGAGTGAAGGCTTGGGGATGGAGGAGGACCCACAGGGCTAAAGGACGAGGAGGAGCCCAGGCTGGCCACGTAGCTCTGAGAGCCAGCCCCCTGCCTGCAGAAGGGGGATGCCACTCCACTCCCAGCGGGCCGGGCGAGCCGGACCCCCCTCAGCATGTCACCGTCCCCCTACATCTGTGAAATGGGGCAACGATCCACCCACCCCGAGGGACCGGGTGTGGATAGGGCCAGCTGGCACATGGAAGATGTCAGCGCTGCACCCAGCACCAGGCGGGCGCTCTGCCAACACCAGCCACCACCACCCTCGCGGTTACTGACCGACGGCCCCGTGCAGCCTCACTGCTCCTCCGGGACGCCTGCCTCCTCCACCTTTTGTGAGGCTCACCTCAGCCTCCCAGTCCTGCCCTCTTCAAAGGAACGCGCATGCCAACTCTTAACTCCCACTCCTCAGCGAGGCACCCCTGCCCAGCCCACCCACTGGCCGAGGAGGGAAGAGCTGGGCAGCGGCTCCTCTCAGCTGCCCAGGGCAGAGGCCACAGTCCCTCCTTCCGCCATGGGCCCAAGCACAGTCCCAGGCACCCTGCACGCTCAGCCACCTGCGGAGGTGCTGGGCCCAGGGCCCGAGTCTGACTCAGTACTGGATACTGGACTCTGTTCTCCCTTTAATCCCACCTGCCTCAAGGGCCAGTGTCTCAGCATAATTCAACAGATCCTTCGCTTAATACCTGCTCTGTGCTCCACCCCCGGAGGGTGATGATGGGGAAACAGCATTCAAAACACCTCTGATTCCTGCCTCCAGGGGCAAGACAGATCCATTCCCAGACAGTGATGACCCCGAGGGGGCCAGGACTAAGGCAGGAGGGCCCAGGAGTGCATCTAACCTGATTGGGGGATCAGGGAGGGCTTCCTGGAGGAGGGGCTACCTAACAACACTGGTCACGTGAGCACAGGGGCTGTGAGTCTCATTCATCATCTCATCCTGGAATTTAACATAACTGTACCTGGTCCTTGCCAGGTGCTCCATCTACTGAAGGAAAGAAAGTGGGGGGGGGGGGGAGAGTGGTGAGGAGACCCACGGGGGTCTGAGTAGTTCACCAGGTAAGGGAGGGAAGAGCCGCTTGATAGGGCTAACATGTAACACTGTGTGATCATGTAACACACGACCATGTAACACTGCACAGCTCCAACTGCAGCCAGCAATTCCACCCTGAGGTCTGTACCCTGGAGAACTTCTTGCTTACACCCCAGGTGACACATACACAAAGTTCACGGCTGCGCCAGGTGTATAAGACCGAAAGCCAGAAACAACTCAAATGTCCATCAAGGACAATCTAAGGCAGAGCCACGCAAAGGAAGACTCTGGAGCATCTCCATGGATGGAACTGAGAAACCTAATGCTGAGGGGAAAGGAGAGACCCAGGCTCCACTCACGACACATCGTCATTTTTATGACACTCAGAAACAAGCAAAACCAAACTGTATTTTTTCATCATACATGCACAGGTGATAAAACTTAAAAAAAAAAAAAAAAAAAAAGAGGCATGACAATCACAACCAGCACGGTAGTAGTCATGCGTCTCTGGGCTCTATCCACCCTCCCACCCAGACAGAGGTGAGTTAATGGTAATGTTCTCAGCCCTAAATTGGGAGGTAGGCTCATGGGTCTTTATTATACTACACTTTAACTTACGTGTATGGTACATACATAGTTTAAATGCCATGAAGAGAACTTAATAACAATAATTTTAAAAGCAGAGGGAAGGAGGGAATTCCCTGGTGGTCCAGGGGTTAGAACTCCATGCTTCCACTGCAGGGGACACAAGTTCAATCCATGGGCTGTTCTGGTCGGGGAACTATGATCCCATAAGCTATTCGGTGCAGCCAAAAAAAAAAGTAGAGGGAGGGAGAAGTGTGCTGCAGCAAAGGGAATAGCATGCACAAAGGCTCAGAGAACAGAGAACTGAGGAGCCTCTGGGGAACTGAAAGTCACTGTCAGGGGCAAGTGAGGCAAATAGGCAAGGGACCCAAGACAGGCACTGCGGTACCTGAAAAAGGTCTGCAGATCACTCAGCGGCTCCCTGCTTCCCACCACTCCCATCTACTGAAATCCTGGGTAGGCAATGGGCCCAGCTGAGGGCGGGGGACCTCTGAGAAAGCTGAGGGCCATCAGCGGACAACCAGGCCGGCTATTTCAAGCTGCCTGCCTCAGGCTTCCGGTCGGGGCACCAGATGGCCAGCTGGACTCAGAGGCACTGGGGACTTTAGTTTGGAATTTTAAAATCCAATAACTGTGAGCTGTTTACTGGTGCAGTGAAGGCTCCAGGGATGGACACTGAGTGCCTGTAACTTCTCGTTGCCCGACCTGACTTTTCTTCCCCTATGAAAGGTGAGCACTGCCATGTAGCCTCACGAGGTGTGTCTGGGTGCTAAAGGACATATTCATTCATTCTTTACCAAACAACCTGGGCTGGGCAGACAACAGAGCACAAAACAGATCTGGATCCCTGCCCTCGGGGAGTGATTGCTAGGAAGGCAGACAAATAATCACAAATAAAAGTGACAAATTATAAGCAAGAAAGCACTCAGAGGAAAACAGGTGATGATCACTTAGATGGGAGGGAGTAATCAGGAAAGGCCAGTAGAGGGAGGAACACTTAAGCTGAAACCTAAATGACGAGTTACGAGGCAGAAATTCATTCATTCCCTCAAATGTTTTTCGAGTGTCTCCTCGGGGCCAGGCGCAGTTCAAGGTGAACACACTGAGGCAGTGAACGCAGCCCTGGACCATCCCCTCCCAAGTCCCTTCCAATGGAGAAGGCAGACCCAAGACAGGGAGCAATGTCAGCAGACAAACAGATGGTGACCCCATGGAAGTTGGGGAGAGCTTCCCAGGCAGAGGGAAGAGCCAGCACAGAGGCCCAGCATGTAGACGCTGGAGCGGGGGNTAATAAGAAACAAGTTAACTAGTAGTTCAAAAAGGTTCATTAAAACAAAACACCATCTGGGCACCAAGACACCCAAATGTAAAAGTATTATTCATTCATTCTTTAAAAAAAAAGAAAAAAATCAAGCGATACAACCAAGTGCTGTCCCTCAAGGCTTCCAGACATTTGTGGGCACAGACTGTATATAAGACTTCAAAGGTTCCTACCCTCTGACTTGGTAAACCACCTTCTAAGAATTTCTTCTGAGAAAGCTCCTTGCGACAACAGAAAGATTTATGGACAAGGCTAAACACTGCTGCATTATTCATGCAGCTGAAAACTGGAAAGGGCCTAAATGTTCAGCAACGCGGAATGGCTGGAGCAAATTACAATGGCCTGACGGTGGATTTTAATCACGCTTTGTAAAAAAAAGGAAAAATGAAGTGAAAATGTAGGACATTCAACTGTATACCCAGGCTCTGCCCAGTTTTATTTTTACATGTTTGTGGTACTGTAACTTAACCATTGAAGAGATGGGAAGGAAGTGCTCTGGCATTTCACGCTGACGACATTCCAGGTGGTGTGCGTCGCTTCTGATAAAGAGTCTTGCATCCAAAATATATATAGAACTCTTACAGCCCAACCAGAAGACAAATGATCCGATTTTAAAACTGGCCAAAGATCTGAACAGACATGTCTCCCAAGAAGACATACAAGTGCCGAGAAGCATATGAAAAGATGCTCAACACCATCAGCCATCAGGGAAACGCAGATTAGATCAAAACCACAGTGCGACGCCCAGCACCCGCTGGGGTGGCTGGGATCTAAGGGGCAGACACGGAACAGAGGATGTGGAGGGAGGGAGCGGAAGTCTCGCTGGTGGAGGCGAGCGCTAAGTGGGACAGCCGCCCGGGAAAACGGTCTGGCAGTTGCTCAGAGGGTTAGAGTCACCAGATCAACGAGCAATCTCACTCCTAGAAAAATGAAAGCCTGGGTCCGCACAAAAACCTGAGCGTGAACATCCACAGCAGTACTATTTGTTCATCACGGCCAAAACGTGGAAATAACTCAAATGCACATCAATGGATGAAGAGATAAAACATCCACACGATGGAATGTTATTCGGTGATAACGGGGAATGAAGCACGGGCAGTCACGACGTGGGTGAACTCTGTAAACACTGCTGAGTGAGAGGAGACAGACACAAAAGGCCCCGGTGGCACGATTCCATTTACAGGAAACATCCAGAAGCTAACAAGACAGAAAGAGATCAGCGATCAGCGGTGGCCTGAAGGGGTGGGGGAGGGGTGCTGGGATTCCCCGCTAAGGGGTTCAGGGTTTCTTGTGGGGGGAGAGGTCATCGGGTAATGAAATGTTCTGAAAATGGACTATGAAGACAAACGCACCATCCTGGGAAAAACTGAACTGTACGCTTTACATGGGTGAAATGTATGTGAATTACATCTCAACAGAGCTTTTAAAAAAAATTCCAGATGGTAAGCTTAAGAAGTGATTTTCATTTTCTTTCGACTTTCCAAATCTTTTTCTCTTTTTTTTTTCACAGTGAACATATCTTATTTGTAAAGTCAGAAAAGAATCAAAGTAAGGGGTCTCTCCCTTAGTAACAACAATCCTGAGCTTCCCGGGTGACCGCACACCCTTCACCCCCAACTCCCCTCACCGACACCCACTAAGGGGGATGAGGAGAAAGCGGAGCCTCGGGCAGGACTTGCTTAGCTGCCCTGTGGGCTGCAGATGGCATCTCCACTGCCCCAGAGCCTTTCTTTTCATAATAACATCAGGCGGGGAACCCAGGGGGCACAAGGCAGGTCTCTCAGCTGCCCTCCTCCAGGACGTGTCACTCTCCGGAGATGCAGCAGCAGGAGCCGTCCTGGGCGCCAGCACCCCCCATCAGGCCTGCTGCCTCACTTGTAAAACCAGGAGATAAGCCTCCAGCCCTGATAATCTGGACGTGGGAAACAGGGGTGGAACCTGTGCCAGCCGGGATCCTCACGGCTGGGTGGTCAGTGAGCACAGGCATTTGGACCCAACAGCTGGCGGCCGCCCAGCGAGTCAGATGGCCCTGCCCTCCCCCACCCCCCAAACTCACCGGCCTGGGGTGTCTGCTCAGGACCAGCCAGGGTCAGGCTGCTGTCAGGCATGTGGGCTCTGAGCAGGGCTCCACGGGAGCTCTATCTATCTCTGGGCTCTGCCTACACCCACCCCCGCTCCAACTCCATGCTAATGGAATGACAGTCGCCAGCACCGGCTCTGTGCTGCTGGACACGGCAGTGACCAGGACAGCCCAGCCCTGCCCTGCTGGGGCTCACAGTGCAGCGGGGAGACGATACAGCAGGGGAGCCTAGAAGAGCTCCACGCTGCAGACCCCGAGGGCAGCAGGGCTCCACGGGAGCTCTATCTATCTCTGGGCTCTGCCTACACCCACCCCCCCTCCAACTCTATGCTAATGGAATGACAGTCGCCAGCACCGGCTCTGTGCTGCTGGACACGGCAGTGACCAGAACAGCCCAGCCCTGCCCTGCTGGGGCTCACAGTGCAGCGGGGAGACGATACAGCAGGGGAGCCTAGAAGAGCTCCACGCTGCAGACCCCGAGGGCTGAACCCAGGCCCGGGGGACAGAGGACCCCAACCCCCATCCCAGGGAACCTAGCCCTTTCTAGTCACTGCGATCAAAGTCGGGAGAGCTGTGCCGGGAAGCCAGTATCCCAAGGAGAGAAGGGTGGATTACAGGACAAGGAGTGAGGGTGGAGGCCTGAGCTGAGGAGCAGGGGGGGCTGGACCCCACTGACCTCCTCCACCTCTTCCCATGACAGCCCTTGTCGCCGGCGGGCAGGGAATCAGGTCAGTTACCACAACCTGAGCTCTCTTGCCCCGCCCACCGGCCCACGAAGAGGAGGTCCTGGCAGTCCGTTCCCTAAATGGTGGGGGTGACCTATGGACAGACAGGGAAACACACGGGGTGGGAAGGGACTGTGACACCCCCTTGCTGCACAGAAAGGCAGTGCCCGGCTGAGGACCCACAGCAAGTCCACAGCCAAGATGGGCCTGCCCCCCGACCCACACGGCCGGCCTGCACTCCCGTGGGCTGGAGTTCAGGGCTCTGCAGACCTGGCCAGGGGACACCAGTGGCAGACTCGGGGGCCCCTCCTGTCCTCTATTCCCCCCCTGTCCTGGGCCGCGTGAGGGTGGGCCCATCTAGTCCCTGAGGCCTAGCATCACCTACCCTTCCTTCTCTCGGTGCCACATGCTGGGAGCACCAGGGGATAAGGGAGCACCCAACCAAAGCCACCTCCACCCTCATGATGCTCACAGTCAAGGGCGCAAGAGTACCTTCCGGCCCACAGATAACCAGATGGCTGACCTTTTGGGGGAACCACGTGAGAGGGCCTGGAAAGAAGGGTTTGCTGGTACCCGAGGACAAGCTAGAGCCGAGCAAGGCAGGCATTCCAGGAGGATGTGGGGAGCGCCGGCAGGCTGGAACTGAGAAGAAGCCATCGCACTTGAACGCAGAAAGGACACGGGCAAGGGAGGGCCCAGACGTGGCCAGTGAAGGTGGCGGGGGGCCGACCTCCTGAGCTGTTTTAGGGATCCTGCATGGGCTGTGAAAGGCAGTAGGAAAAAGGGGCCATAAGCCTAATGTGAAGAAACAGGGTTCGCTTCTTTGGGAATGGAGAGAGGACGTGAGAACAGGCAGGGCAGTCAGGACCCTGTCACCTGGTGCACAGTGGGGAGAGGCGGCGGCAGGGGATGGACGAACGGATGGATGGATGGCAGCGTGGGCAAATGATCCAAATGACCCCATGAACATCTTCCTTGGCCTCTGCTCCCTTTTGGGCCCCCAACTATTCTGAGGCCCAGTCCTGGGTTAGGGGCCCGAGGCTCCCAACCTGGGGCGCTCGGCAGCAGGCCCACTGTGCTCAGAGTCCCTGTGGGCCTGGGGGTGTCCACTGGTTGGTCTCCTTCGTGCAGCCAGAGGCAACAGACGCGGTCTCCTGCGATGTTCCTGGGTCCAGTGGGGGGAGATGGATCCAAACAAATAACAACAGCGTGAGGCGGCATCACGGGAACCCGGGAGAGCAGAGCAGCGCTCTGTCTGGGGACGACGTGTGCAACAGTGTGGGGACGCAGGGCAGAGGGAACCAGGGTCTGTGGATTAGAACAGGGGTGCTGGGGGTGCTGGGGGATGGACGGGGATGGACACCGGCTTGGGAAGGCCTCCCCACCAGGCTCAGGGGCGCAGCCTCTGTCCTGTGGTGAAGAAGGAGCCCTGCCTGGGAGGCTTCTGGGGAACAGAGCAGAGGGTGAGTCCTGCTCCCTCTGGTTTGAACACAGCTTCTCCCTTTACTGTCTGTGTAGCCTTGGCACCCATGAGCCTCAGCTTTCCCTTCTGGCTGCTGTGAGATTAAAGGAGTAAACGCACCGGAGAGCTTAGATCACCCCACCATGGCTGTCACCATCATGGCCATCCTGAAGCCTGACCCTCCACAGGCTCACTTCCTTCCCTGGCGGGGGCCGGGGGCTTCCATCTCCTGGCATTCCCGCCCTGCCTCCCCCCACCCATCTCGGGGCTCTGAGGAACTCAGGGGGTTCAGCTATGAAGGTGCTGGCTTCGCACAAAGGGGAGGGCCGCTCGAGCGGCTCCCCTACCACACGGCTGACGGCAGCTGGCAGGAGGCTACGGCTGTGGGGAGACGGAGGGGTGGGCGTGGGGCGTGAAAGTGGCTCACGAGTCCGACCCCAGCGGGTTCCCACCCACCCGATCGGGGAGGACGTCCCAGCTGGGATCTGACAAGGCCTCCGCAGCATCAGACCACCGGGCTCCCACCCCAGGCTTCTGCTGGAAAGGGAGAGGGCGTCAGGCAAGTCACATGAGCCGAGCGGCTGTCAGCAGACACTTTCAAACCGCCACCCCCACCCTGAGGCAAAGGCTCTGGAGCTGATGCAGAGAGTAAGGAAGGGGGTGAGAATAACTTTATATAGAGTGCCCACTGGGTACCTGCACCCACCACAACCCATCACGGGGAGGGCAGCTCTGGGGACACGCAGGGGAGCCAGACCAAGCCGGGCTCTGCCCTCGTGGAACTGCCTTCCCAGCCGGGGGAAAACAGAAGCGAAGCACAACAGTGTCGGTCATTCCTGGGGCACCCAGCCTTGGAATCCCCTTCCACCTGTCCCACCCTAACTGAAGCACCAGACCCCCACCTCCTGTTGCAGCTCCAGCCCAGAAAGCACCCATGAGAGGGAGTGGCCCTAACAGCAGCGCAGCCTGGCTCAGGGCGGGAGTGATGGGGGTGGCCTGGGAGCGGTAAGGTCAAGGACCTGGCATTCTCACCACGTCTGCGGGGGCTATGGGGTGCTCCTGGCTCGGAAGGCTGGGCCTGGCTCCCCACCCAGAGTCAGGAGGCTTCGAAACAGACTCCTCTTCTGCCAAAATGGCTCCACAGACGAGCAAACTGTGACACACAGAGGCTTCAGGACGTGCCTGCGTTCACGTGGCAGAATTCACAATTGGCCCCGGGTCTCGGGCTGGTCAGCCTGCTCTCAGAAAGGAGGAGCCAGGGCAGGCTTACCAGGACACGGCCCGGTTCTGTTCTAACAAGCCCTTACTGAGTGCCTGCAACAGCGAGTTACAGGTCCAGTCGCCTCCCAAGTTTCTCAATCCCCCCACAAAAGGGGGTACTGAGGCAGAGAAGCCAGGCGACCTCTGGACAGAGGGCAGAGGTGGACTGGCACCAGAGTGCCCTGAAGCCCGAGGCCTGGGCTGCCTCGTGTTACCACAGCTTCACAGAAAGGGAGAGGGGCCCACTGGGGGCTCCGTGGTCTCCTACTAGAAACTGCTGGGCCAACAGTCTAGAGTTCAGAATTTCCTGATCTTAGAAAATCACCGCAGGATGCCTCCTCTATTATGTTAGGCCCCAGGTTTTAGAGCTCTCTGGGTCTGGGAAGTGTGGGACCTGGGGGACTTTACAGGTGAAGCCAGCTGCTGAGGTGGCACAGGGGAGGCAATGTGAGCACCCGAGTGCACGACCCCCACCCCCCACCCCCGGGCAGGAGGCAAGAACCAGGGCAGGGGCGGGATGGAGCTCAGAGACCCACGGGGAGAACACCGCAGAGCAAACCTTCTGGGGAGGGGGAGGCTCTGATAAATCTGATGATTAAATCAATCGAACAAATGCAAGCTCCTAGCCACGGCAGGGCTTCACAAAGCAGAGAGCCTACAGGCTTGCGGCCCCGACCTTGGTCTGGGTCTGCAGGCCACACTCACAGAAGGTTCTGTGGGAAACAGTGGGCAGGCCCCTACTGAAAACCTTTCGCTGGTTCCCTGCCACCCTCAGGCTAACAGGGCCCACAGGCCCCACCTGGGTGGGTGGCCCCGGCCTTGCTTCTCCAGTCTGGCCTCTGACCCTCCCGCCTCTACCTCGACTCCAAGAAGACTGGCTTTTTTCCTCCTCCTCTGATGTGCCTCACTGGCTCCGCCTCCAACCCTCTGCACTTCTTCCAACTGCTCCTCACCTGGCTCACTCCAGTGATTTCTTTAGACCTGAGACGGCCCCTTCCTCCAAGAAGCCACCTGTCCCTTGCCCGTCAGCTCTTCCCAGTCAGGGTCCTAGGCACCCTGATTTGATTAGAACTGTTTACCGTGTGACTCCCTCACTCAACTGTGACCTCCACAGAGGCAGGGCCTGGCCTGCCTTCTTCCCCGACCCCTAACACTGGCAATCACTAAATGAGACACTGCGCACGCCTTCGGCGGGGGGGACCGAGCATGCACCACGTCCTGACACTGGGGAGCACAGGCGGAATTCGGGCCAAGGCGGAGGACAGAGGAGCAGTGAGGTGCTCCCAGGAGGCTTGAGCTGTCCAAGAACCACAGAGATCCCCTCCTGAGTGCCACCCAGCCGATTCCTTCACTCAGGCTGTTTCTCATCCCTGAGCTACCTGGTGAGGCTGGAATGGTCATCTCCATCTTACAAAGGGTTATGGGTTCAAGACAAAGAAATCATGCAGCAGGCAGAAGCGAATGCAGCAACTCACCAAAGCTCACGCAGCCAGGACTCGGGGGAAGAGCGCAGGCCCCCAGCCACACTGCCTGGCTTTGTGACGACCTCCGGTGAGTGACCTTGCCTCTCTGTGCTTCCAGTACCTCATCTACAAACAGAAAGAATAGCACCTGCCTCCCGGGTGACTGGGAGACATAACCGAGACACCCACTCAGCCCAGCGGCGGGCTCATGGGAGTAATGAGCGGTGACCAGGGTTGCCTGGAGAGCAGGGGCCTCAGCTTGGGCCCCTCCACGCTCCACTGTGGCAGGCCACCCACCCAAATCCCGTTTCTGCAGTTTCCACAAGACAGACGCTTTAGTGTGCTCTAAACAAGTCTGCGAGGCCAGCCTCAGCCACCCTTGAACTGAGGTCTGAAACTGAGCCTTGGGACTGAGCGCCAGGCAGCTGAGCTCAATCAGGGGCCCTGAGCAGAACAGCCAAACCTGGCCGCCTGGGGAGCTTTCTAGAAACACAGATTCCTGGCCTCCATTCCCAGAAGCCACCCCCGTCACGGCCAGTCCAGTCCAGGGCGTCTGGCTCCATGGTTCTTAATACTTTTGGAGCCAAATGCCTGTGAGAGACAGGAGATGCCTGTTTCCCAGAAACACGTGCACGCACTTCTGACAGCCCACCAGAGGACCGAGTGCCAAGCACCCAAGGCATGGGGCCTGGCACAGGCCCATCAACTCATTTGAGAGGCTTTCTCCCCAATGCCCCGGCGGCGTGAGATCTGATGGAAAGCCTCACTCCTCTGCCACTCGCCCACCCTCCTGGGCGCCAGACGCAGGTCATGGGGGTGACCCACAGTCTTCACCCTTGAAGAGGGAAACATGATGTGAACACAAATAAAGCCCTGGAGGTGGAAAGGAGAGCCAGCCGCTCCCCACACAGGCCTGTCCACCGAGTCAAGTTCCCACGGGGCTTAGGGCTGGGGCGCCGGGCCATTCGACAGAAGGGACTGGGGCTCGGGGGGGCAGCTGGAACTTGTCCACGGTCATGGCCGGTATCTGAGAGGCTGCGGCTAACACTTCGCATCTAGACCCTCGCTGCCCTTGCTGCCTCTCAGCTGGAGGCCGAGACAGGCTGATTGAGTTTCAGCTCCGAGAGGCTGGGCAGGCTGCCCAGAGTCACCCAGCTCGTCACAGACAGGATCGTCCCTGTCAGCGATGTCAGGGCACTCTTCTGATAGACCGCAGGGTTCTGACGAGGGACACACTGGAGGAGAGGCGAGTGCAAACACACAACAGAGACAGCGCAGCACGGAGGGCAGGGGCTGCAGGTGGGGGCAGAAGACTGGCGACAACAAGAACAAGGCCCCCCAGCGCTCCCTGTGGACACTGTTATCTCACTTTCCTCATCAGCCTTTGTGGAGGGACGACTGTCAGCTGTATTTCATAGACAGAAATATCATCACGGACAGAGAGAACGATCGCCCAAAGTCACATGGCAGAGTCTATGTGCCAACGCTGGCAGTAGGTGAGGGTGGGTCCTGACGGAAATCTGGGGGAAGCATCAGATAGCCACCCCCCACAAGGGCACTGGCTCCTCCCCAGCCAGACCGCCCACCACTCAGGTAAAATGAGCCATTAACCAGCAAGAGAGTCTCTGTCCACTACTGACAGGTACCTTTCCACCTGTCAAAGAAGTTTCAAGGACTCAATTTGCAGCACAGGTTTCATTGAGAACAAATAGGAAGGTGTTTCCACCCGCTCTGATCCTCACTGAGGAACACGATGGCCACTGTCCCCACCAGCCCCTCTCCCCCATCCCACCCCCGAAGCTCAGGTGGCCGGAGCTGGGCACGTTTAGGCCCCCTTCACCCTGCAGATGCCTCCACTCCACATGAGGAGTTTCCCGGGCGGCAAAGCTCCCCTGCCCCTATTCCAGGACAGACTGCATAGGGTGGAGGTCAGGGAGCGGGGAATGAGTCATGGGCAGGACTGCAGGGAGGGGGGAGACAGCCGCCCAGACTGTGGCCAGTGTCACGTGCTCCCGACGCCTGCCTCGCCAAACCCGGTCTCCTCCCCACATGGCGGTTAGCTGGGCCTCAGGTCACTCCTGCAGTTTGGTCTGAAGAGTCCCTGGTACGAGACCCTCAGAGGAGCTGGGACCTCCCACTATGGATGGGGCTTGTGGCAGGCTGGCCCCTCCTCCATGGGCACCCACTTCCACCCCCCAGGGAGTGTGGGGCGCACATGGGCCCCAGCCCGGCAGTACGGAGGCAGCCTCCTCTCCAGCTTCACAGCGCGTCCACTGGCAACCGGCTTGCTGCAGAGACCCTGCCCCACCAGGTCCATCCCGTCCACTCAGACATCCTGGAGGTCAGATCAGCAGGACAGGGCTCACAATTTCACAGATGAGGAAACAAACCAGCTCAGCGAGAACAGGGGCTGTGCCGGAGCCACAGCACGCTGCGGCCGGGGCCAGGCAGGGAGCACACCCCGGCGGGACAGACGCCAGGTGTGGCCTGGCCTCAGCCCCTCTAAGGCTGCACGTGCCCCTGGCACTCATTCGGCCATGATCACCATGTGTCTTTCAAGGGGCTGGGCGGGAATGAGGATAAACACTGTCAGCTCTCCCATTCCAGCAGGGGAGAGAGACCACCAGCGCGAAACAAATGTCGATCTTAACAGCTGCGGCCTTTAGTGCAATGAGGCAGACAAGCAGGCCCCCAAGTTGGGGGCAGGCGGGGACATCATGTGACATGGGAGCCAGGAAAGGCCCTTCTGAGCGCTGGGCAGGGTTGAGCCTCAGTAGGCAAGAGACCCTCCCGCACCACCTCCCTCCTTCAGATGTCTGGCCTCCAGGAATCCCCCAACACGTGACCTCTGACAGGCCCTGACAGGGCTCTTGTCTCAGGCAGACACCCCCAGAGGCTCCCACCGAGCTGAGCCCCCACCTAGCCCCAGACCCAGGCATGGCCCACCGCAGCCGCAGGCTGTCAGGCCTGGCCGAGCTCTCCTCCCAGGGTAAGGCTCTGCTGACTGGGCGCCCGGTGCTAGGGCCCAATTCCTCCAGTGGCTGCTTGTTCCCAGCCCGGGGCATTCCGGCACCTCGGGCCGGGGCGACTTCTCCATCTCTGCGATGGAAGAACAGCTTCTGAATGACCTCTTCCAATTCCGATGCGCCAATTCCTCCCTCACCCTTGGCCTTGGGGTCGTCACCAGGGCAGGCCCCAGCGTGACCCCTCCCTCACCCTTCCCACCAGGGCCACAGCTCAAATGACACCCTCTCTGCTTTCCCATGGCTTTTCCTCCAGCAAATCTCTTGCCCCTCCTCCAAGACCTGCCAACCCCTCCCTGAAGCCCCCAGCTGAGACCCTCGATCTCTCAACTAGGCAGCCCCTTGGCCCAACTCTCCACAGCCTGGCGAGTCTCTGTCTCCCTCAGTCCCAGGCCAGCCAACAACTCCACTGTCCTCCACAGACACAGGGCGAGTCACCGGCCAGCACCACCAGGCCTGCCAAATCCCATTGTCCGAACTCACCAACTTCACCAGTGAGCCCTCCCCTGCCTGGAACTCCTTCCCCTGCCACCCAACTCCTTCCCTCGAAGGTTGACCTCAGCCCCTCTCTCCACCCTCCCGTAAAATCAACCCATTTCTCCAGGTCATCACCTCTCCATCTCAGACCCACTGATGCTTTTGGAGAGTGAGTGCAGACCAGTCCTGCCGTCTCTCCTGGAACTTCCAGGAAGGAGAGACTCCCACAGCCTGGGAGCTGTCACCACCTGTGCCTCCTCCCCGGGGTGACCAGTCAGCCACCATCCTCTCAACCCCTCCCAGCCAGGCACCAACTGACCCTCCTGCTCAACATTCTGCCCCCCCAACCCCCGCTTTCACTGCCTCTTCACGACTGTCCATAAGACATCAAAAAAAACGCAACCAACCAAAAAAAAACCCACCAGACTGAATCTGCCTGGATAACAGCAGGTGCTATTTATGTGGCAGGAACTTACAAGGACTATCTTATTTAATCCTCACAACTTCCCCACAGCAGAAATTAGCACCTCCATTTGCAGAGAAAGAAACAGGAGGCTCGGAGAGGAAAAATGGCTTCCCCACAGCCCAACAGCTGCTAACACACAGCTGCTGCTCTTCTGGGAACCTGCGGGCCAGAAACTTTCCCCTACTCCCACCCCGCCCCCGGCCCGGACTCTCCAACTGCCGCCACCGCCACCACGTTCCAGCCCACAGACAGAACATCTTCCCTCCCCCATGGGCCAGAGTCCACCAACGGACTGGAAGCTTGTGAAGCAGGTCCCCCCCAACTCCATGAACCAACTCCTCCAGGCTGGCCCCTAACATGACCAGCTGCACCTAATGTCACCCCTAAAATGACCAACATAACTGCAGCTTCATGAAGGCTCATCCTGGCCGACCGCTTTCCACACACAGCCTTATTCAGTCCTCTCTGAAACCCCGTGGCACGGCTATTCTCACCCACTTACAGGTGGGAAATCGAGGCTCTGAGGAGTTAGGAACCCAGCCTGAGGTCATGCTTTGGGTAAATGGGACTCAGGATTGAGCTGGAGCCCAGGCTAGCCACCATCCTGCTCTGCCTCTCCAGCTCTTTTCCTCCTCCTGCTCTGAACTCCCTGGACCGGATACTGTATCTGGAGCCCGTTCCCTCTTCCCTTCCTCAGCCCTAGTCCCCCAAGCCCTGCAACCTAACCTATCTTGAGGGCTGAGAGCCCAGGGGCTTGGCTGGCTCCCAAGGCCAAGAATTTTAAATTAATCACTGTCTCTTTAACAATAACTGGCTGGGGAATTCCCTGGAGGTCCAGTGGTTACGCCTGTGCTTCCACTGCACGGGGCCCGGGGTTTGACCCGCGGTGGGGGAACAAAGATCCCGCATTCCGTACCGTGCAGCCAAAAGACAGACAAAACTAACTGGCCAAGATGGCATTTACAGCCGCTCCTCATGTGTTCAGCTTTCAGTTCCCACGTTTCCCATCCTCACATCAAAGCCATCGATTTCTCCACTGCCCACAGACTAGCAACATTTCTACCTCTCTCCCCAGGGCCTACAGACCAACTTCTATAGACCAGGCTCCAGGCCTATCCCTCTCCTCTTTGGCTCCATCCCAGCACAAGTCCCAGACCTGTCCGGGACTCAACCCTGCCATCCATCTCTGGAGCGACTTTCCACCTTCCCAGCCCTACAGATAAAACACACTCCTCCAACTGCTCTTTCAGTTCCAACACAGAGCCTACCTTCTCCAGAGGACTTAAAACCTATGCAGTCACTCTCCCCCACACCTCGAGCCATCCAACTTCTCTAGCGCTCTCACCTTCCACTGACAGCAGCTCCAATGCTTTCTCCGGGCAGGTGGGACGGGGCTAGGGGAAGCAAAACAAGGACAACCCTCCCAAAGCCAGGCTCCAAAGTTCCTCTGCTCCTGAATGACTGATGTTTTGCTTCCCCCTTTTTTTTTTGGGGGGGGGGGGTAGGGGAGGAGAGGAAGAGGAGGCACGTGGTGATTTTTCTTCCTAATGCCAAGATCGAACACCTCCCTGCACTATCTCAACCAGCCCCAAACTGACCACCAACTCCGCTCCTTTTTCTGGCAAGTTTATTTACCTTGCCTCCCTTTCCCAATCCCGGGACTGACTGACTCCTCTACCACTGACTCCAAGTTTACTCCTGTTCCTCCTTTCAGCCAAGGAAGTTGAGTCACATGACCACCCCTTGCCCCGAGGCTTGCAGACCGACAACTGTAACCTCTTTCTGTCCCCATGGGCCCATCAAACTCCTCCAACTGCCCTTTCGGCGATAATGTTGACCCACTCTTTCTCCCCTGACTATTCTATCTTTCTCTGAGGGAACTATGAACTCAAAGGCTACCGCTCTCCTAATCAATCTCCCAAGCCACTAAACTTTCTTTGATTGCTCACCGTCAGAATTCCTCAAACGATCACCATCAGCGTCCCTTGGGGAGGGGAGAGAGGGAGTAGCAAAAACCAGCTAATGTCCACCTTCCCAACCCAACAGCCACTCCCTCTCTAACACCCTCCAAGCTCTAAACTGACGACTGTCTCCTTAAATCATTATTAGGGGCAACTTATTGAGCTCCACCTCTGTACTGGTCGCCGCACCGACTCCCAGGTCCCCCACCAGCCCGCCCCCGCGCTCCAGCTGTGGCTACCGTGTCTCCAGGGGTCTTTGGGTTCCACGGCTCCAGACACGATATCTTCGTCGGAAGGGAACGTAACGCGCTTGGCCGCAGCCTTTAGGCGCCCGTCGGCACCCGCCCCCCGCCTCCCCGCTTCAAAGTAGATAACTAACATTCAGGCCCTCACACATTCGTCACGAGCTCAGGCAATGGAGAAAGGAGTGGATATGATAGGAATAAAAACATATGCTTGGTGAGGCTAGGCCAACTGATAGAAGTAAAGGGATGGAGAACTTGAAAGGCTATAGGAGTTGTGTTGACTATATGAGTACAGGTGATGGATGCTGACAGACGGAACCTCTGCCTGGAGAACCTCTCCACTTGCTGGTTAGGCTCCAGCTTTCCATTTGCAGACTGCAATTTCATCAATGACCCTCTTTGGATGTTGTGGTTATACAGACAGGAAGTCGTGTCGGGCTCTTTTGTATAAATTGTATTTTATATAATTTAAACTTAAAAACGAAAATATGAGCCCATAAGGAGTATTCTATTCTTAATTTAGCTTCTTTTTGTTTTTAAGAAAAGAAAAAACTGGACGAAGGGAGAAATTCCGAAAGCAAGGAACGAATCTTCCAACCGAAATACCCGGCGATGGAGCAGGTAGATCACGGAGCCAGTAGCGAACTAGCACGAACTCAAGCCACGCCCCTACAAGGGCTGACTCAGTCGTTTACTATTCGCCTCCGCACTTTCTCCGTTCTATCCCAACCCAACCACAACCCTGAGTGGGCGGAGCTAAAACCCCAAAAGGTGACTTGGGGAGGAGCAAGTGACGTCGTTGCTAAGGCAACTCGAAATCTGGGCCCAGGAGTCGCCGGAGGTAGCGTTGTGAATGAACAAATGGGAGCCGAGGCCCTGCACAAGCTTCACTTCAGTGGCTGCCGCACTTTGACCACTGAAGATGACCAAAGGAAATCACATCTATATTGAATGGAATCTTCACTTACATTCTTAAACTGACGGGACTTACAGATGGGGCAGAAATTACTTTTAAAAACAATCTGCTGAGGGAATTCCCTGGAGGTCCAGTGGTTAGGACTCTGTGCTTCCCCTACATGGGGCACGGGTTCAACCCCTGGTATGAGAAGTAAGATCCCAGCGACATGGCCAAATAAATAAATAACAGTAAATCTGTTGAAAGACTGCTAGTAATGGGGCTAAGTAAAGTGTGTGAAATAGACAACCAGGCTACAAAGCCGGGGTTAAATGGAGAAGGGGCAAAGTTTCATTCTAACCCTTAATCCCTTTTCCCCAACGGTGCTGCCATGCAGGGTTTCCACCCACCTAAAGGTTATCCACCCAGAGGCCAGGCCATGGGAGGGACCTCTTGCATGTGACCATGTGACCCAATTCAGCTCACTCCCCTCACTGTATACAAGCCAGCCCACCAGAAAAGTCCAAGTCTCCCAAGTCTGGCATCCAGGTCACACCAGCTGTTCCAGACTAGCAGTGGTCCAATCCCCACATCTTTATCCCAGCTCCTCCCACTCCCTTGACAGGTCTTCCCCTTCCTGATCCAGCTCCACAGGATTCAGCCTTTCATAGCCACCCTTTCACTCCCTAAACCTGGCTCAATCCCTATAGGCTACATTAAAAAGAGAAATAAAACAAGAAGCAAAGTTTCCTGAGATAATTGATTCCTTGGCAGGAGAGAAGCATTGGGGAATATTTCCAGGGTGGCTGAACTTTGCACCCTCTTCAATAGACAATTTCCCATTAGGTAATCTGCCTTCCTTTATTCCCTCCCTCTGTCCCAAATCTTCAGGAACTGGCATGGAACCCATATATCTGTAGAGTTGAGAGTTCTGTGAGGTAGAGCATTCCTTTCAACAGGATGTAGAACCCATGGAGTTGCAGAAGTTTACTAACTACACCCTAGATGTCCAGAGATGTCAGAGTTGCTTGGAGCTCGGTGTGAATTTCCAAGGGGGTTCGGAACTCTCTGGGGCCCAGAGGTCCAAGCTCAGGAGCATATTAGCCTGGGAGACTGTAGCTACGCCCAAGGCAGAAAGATGAACACGATGAAGTCTTTATGGCTTGAAGGTGTATGAGATAATGTCATTACACCGGAGCAGTGCTTCAGCCTGCACGCCTATTGGAGTCTGCAGCTGCGACACGTAGAAGTTGGCCACGTCCAGGTCAGTGGCTCCGAAGTGGGCGATCACCTGCACGCCCTCGTGCAGAGTGAAGCACACCTGGCGCCCCACCATGGCCAGCAGGCTGCGGAGGTAGCGCTCCCGCAGGGAGGCTCGAGCCTGCTGTTCCTGGGATTCCCGAGACTCTGGAGGCTCCAGGACTTCAGGGACTTCGGGTTTCAGGGGGGCTCTGTGTCCATCGGGGGCAAAGCCTCGGTTCAAGCCGTCAGGACCCCGGGGGAGCCGGAGCACAGGCACAGGAGTGGCCAGCGGAGTCTGCATTATCCTGGCTGTTGGGTGAAGAAGCAGACCAGGGAGTCATTAGGGGAGTGTGGAGCTACAGGAGGAGGGGGCTGGGGGCAGAGGTCTATCTACCCCATCTCCACTTAACCTGTCCAAAACCCAACTCCTAAGTCCCCCTTCTAAAATCTGTGCCATCCTTTGGCCAGCCACCCCCCTTCCCAGGACCTAGCACCCCCGTTTACAAGGTCCATGAGAGCAGGGCCTTTGCACTGCTTTTTAAGTTTTTGTAAGTTTTTTTAAGTCTTTAAGTTTTTTAATTTTTTAAGTTTTTGGCTGTGCCACCCAGCCTGCAGGATCTTGGTTCCCGGACCAGGGATCGAAACCATGGCCCACTGCAGTAGAAGTGTGGGGTCCTAGCCACTGGGCCACCAAGAAATCCTCTGTACTGCTTTGATCCCCAGCCCCTAGCAATAAATGCTTGCTAAAAGAGCAAGCCCTGACCTCGCTCACAAACAGCCCATCCAATCCATTATTTGTGGAGGAGGGTGTGGCAACCCACTCCAGTATTCTTGCCTGGAGAATCCCCATGGACAGAGGAGCCTGGGGGGCTACAGTCCATGAGGTCACAAAGGGTTGGACATGACTGAAGGACTAAGCACAGCACATTTCCAAATAAATTCCCATTCACACAGGAGTCAGCTCAAAAGGGTGATTTTTTTTTTTAAGGGTGAAATTTTATGAGTCATACTTATTTTAAATAAATAAATGAAGAAGTAAATAAAGGGAGGAGAGGGGAAAGTCCTTACCATACGTTTGAGAAGGCCCAGGATATCTGCAGTCTTAAAAGTACCTCCTCACAAGATATTCCTTGTAAAGACTTCAGAGTAACTTTGCAGTGGAGAAGCGTGGGAGACACTACTCTATGTTGGCATTAAAATCAACATGTACAGTAATGGGGCAAACGGACACCAAGGGCATCCGGATATAACACACTCAGGACAGGGCACCCCTTCCATGGTGGCACTGCCCAAAATGGATGACCTCAATCTATTGAGGCAACTCAAACTGCGGGACATTCTACAAAAAAAAAAAAACAAAAAAAATTAGCCTGCTTCTTCAAAAACATCCAGATCATAAAAGGCAAATGTTGGGGCGGGGCCGAAGGCAGTCCCCTGGTGAGGGTTAACCAGTGGTTAGGATGTGGTGCTTTCCTAAGAGTGTGTGTGTTAGTTGCTCAGTTGCGTCTGACTCTTCACAGCTCCATGAACTGTAGCCCACCAGGCTCCTCTGTCCATGGGATTTCCCAGGCAGGAATACTGGAGTGGGTTGCCATTTCCTTCTCCAGGGGGATCTTCCTGACCCAGGGATTGAACCCACATCTCTTAGGTCTCCTGTGTTGGCAGGCAGAGTCCTTACCATCTGAGCCACCAAGGAAGCGGCCTGGGTTATCCCGGCTCAGGGAACTCTAACCAGGTTATCCCTGGTTAGAGGCGGCAAAAAAAAAAAAAAAAACAAGAAATGCTCAGGGAGAAAAACATTTATTTTTAATTTAAAATATATATATATATATATATATATATATTCTTAAGAGTCCTTTGGACTGCAAGGAGATCCAACCAGTCCATCCTAAAGGAAATCAGCCCTGAATATTCATTGGAAAGACTGATGCTGAAGCTGAAACTAGGATGAGATGGTTGGATGGCATCACCGACTCAATGGACATGAGTTTGAGTAAGCTCTGGGAGTTGGTGATGGACAGGGAGGCCTGGCGTGCTACAGTGCATGGGGTCCGCAAAGAGTCGGACACGACTGAGCGACTGAACTGAACTGACTGATTCACACCCTAATAGTTTTCACTCTGTCCATCATCTCAGTCTAGCTACTGTCATTTCCCACCTGGACTACTGAGGTCAGCTCCTCACTGGACTCCTGATTCCACCTTTACCCGCTGCCAGTCTGTCCTCACACACAGCCCGAGGGACCCCATTAACACCTAGGTCAGATCACATCCCTCTTCAGCTCAGAGCCCTCCCCTGGCTGCCGTCCTGCTCAGAGTCAAAGTCAAAGTCCTCACGACAGCCCTCAAGGGGCTGCATGCTCTGGATCCCGCCCGCGCCCTGGCCTCATGCCCCACTTACTCTCTCCACCCGGCCGCACTGGTCTCCCTGCTGGGTCTCCAGCACACCTGGCGTGGTCTCTTCATGGGCCCTGGTACTGCGGTTCCCGCTGCCTGTACCGCCTTCTCCCCGTTCCCAGAGCAGCCTGTCTTCAAGATCTCCCCTTCAGTCGCCTGCATCTGAGTCGGCTTCCTCACTCTTCAGAAGCACGCCCCTCTCTTACATGTGATGTCTATTTACTGGTCTGCTGATGGTCTTTTTCCCTGTGAGATGGGCTGCCTCTGCTGTAGCCCCAGCTCCTGGAACATGGGGTGGCATACAGACCAGACTCCTTAAATACTGTTTCTGCTGCAATGAATGGAATGGAAATTGAGCTCTCAGGCCTGCTTAGGTGGGTGGCCTCAAGCAAGAGACAGTTTCCTCGTTTCCTCTTCCCTGGGTGGAGAAATGGCACCAACGGCCGCCTCCGCTCGTTATCAGGATGCGACAGGCTCGGGCCCCACAGGTCCATGACCTACACGCTAGGTCCTCCCTAGTTATGCTTGAGGAATAACTGTGTGAGTATCACTACTGCCGTGTGACCTAGGGGAAGCGGCTTACTAGGTCTGTGCCTCAGTTTCCCCATCTATACAACAGACTGACAAGAGGACCAACCTGACAGGGCTGCCACGGGGACTGAATGACCTAACAGATGTGAAAGTTTAGCACTCGCCTGTAACGTATTACATGCCACTACACTGAGGTTGGGTTTTCTTTTTTCAAGTATAGTTGTTGTGCTAGTTTCAGGTATATAGCAAAGCAATTCAGTTATATGTGTGTGTATATATATGTTATTACAGAATATTGAGTATAGTTTCCTCCTGTGCTATATAGTAGGTCCTTGTTGGTTATCTATTTTATATATAGTACTGTGCATACGTTAATCTCACACTCCTAATTTACCCTGCACCCTGACCACTGCACTGATGCTGACTGCATGTAAGGAGATGTTGGCATTGTGGGCAGGAGAGAGGACCTAAGTTTCAAGCAGTGCACCCTTTCCCCTGCTTCAGTCCCCTCCTCTCTAAAGTGATTCACTGAAGTGACTGACATGAATCAGGTACCCAGTGTCCCATCCCAGGGCCACTCACCGTACAGAGGTGATTGGGATTGTCCTTTTTCTTGAGAGGTTCTTCCTGGCTCGGCAGCTCAACTGTCAGCTACTTGCAAGAAAGGATCCTGCAGAGAAATGAATCAGCATTTCTCAACTTCAGCTCTAAGTCTGATCTCACACCTCCTCTGCTCAGAGCCCTCCCATGGTTCCCACTCCACCTGGCCAAAAGCAAAAGTCCTCACTCCAAGGCCCTATCACCTCTCTGATCTCATCTCCTTCCCTTCTAACCTGTGGTCACTGTTGTCAGTCCTTGAAAATGCCAAGCACATTCCTGCCCCTGGGCCTTTGCATATGCTATTCTTACTGCTTGGAACCTTCTTCCATACATGAGACATATATATTTCCAGATACATGGCATGCCTTCCTCCCTTACTTCACTCAGGTCACTGCTCAAACATTCCTTCTTACAGGGAGGAAAATAATAGCCCTTTCACCTTGCAGTATCTTTTTTTTTTCACAGCACTATCACTTCCTGACAGTATGCATTTACTTGTCTGCCTATGTGCCATCTGTTCTGCCACAGAACGTAAGCCTTTGGGAGAAGGGACATGTCTGATTACATCACAAGGGCTGGCAACCAGGGGTCATGGAGTAAATATTTGTGGAAGGATTCACTCCCCCTGTTATCCAAGTGCCTGCTCTGCGCCTGACCCACGCTGGGTGGTGCTGGAGACCCAGCTGGCAGCCAAAGAGCCTGGCCCTACCATCCAGTGGATGACACACACCAGGGCTCCAGACAGTGACACCAAGAGTAGGCAGGGCTGGAATGAAGGAGCCCCGGGGCCTCATGAGCCCAGAGGGGACACCTGGCCCTGCCTGGGGAGGTAAGAGGTGGTTTCCAGGAAGGGGCTCGGGAAAGAAGGCTCTGATAAGCTGACACTGGAGCAAAGACCAGAATGGAATGAGGAATTGAACCATGAGGAGATATGGAGGGGAAAGCATTCCAGTTCGAGGGAACAGCAAACTGAAAGCCCATAGAAGGGTGACTGGGTGATAGTAAGGAGGCCAGTGAGCAGGAGGTGGGGGCAGGGGCCTTGAGGACTGGGGTATCTCCTCTGAGTAGAGGAGGAGCAGGGTCTGACTCATAGGATGCCTCTGCCTGCTGCACAAAGAATGGACTGTGAAGGGCAAGGGGAGAAGCAGGGAGCCCAGTGAGGAGGCCACCTCATGGGGAAGATGGAAGATGACATTATCTGGGGCAGTGAAGCAGGGCGGGGAGAAATGATTGGATTAGGCTATCTCTTGGGGGTTGAGAGCCCTCACTATTTGCTAAAGGACTGGGCAGAGCCAAGGAAGACTCCCAGGTTTTCACCTGATGGGCAAGATCACAGTGAACAATGAATTAATGGGACTGCTACTTGTTCATTATTTCACCACAGATGGCTGCGAATGAGATTAAGGGATATGTACATTTTCTAATGTATCTGACCACTGCATTCCCAGTTTAGTCCAGGGTCACCAGCCCCCAGGGCTTTCTCCCAGCACTTGTAGGTTAACACTTGAGTGTTTTAGGAGAAACACTCCCCTCTAGGGCTGATGGGAAATATGCAAGTTGCCAAAGAGTTCTGTTAAATTCCTCAGTAAAACAAAATTAAATTAAACATGGGCCAGCATAGGCCATGTTTTTGCTACTAGGGAGGGAAAAAATAAATTTGATCATACCTGCACAATCCCCATTTTCCCAGAGAGGAAACTCAAGTTGGGTGATGCCAAAGCATTTACTGGGTACAAGCTGGTGACTGACAGGAAAAGGGAGCAAACCCAGGTTGGTCTGGTAACAGTCAGGGCCATCACCACTGCCCTATGCAAAAGGGCAGTTTTTTCAGTCAGCAAAGGAGAGCCATTGAGGTCTGGGCGTGATAAGACTTGATAAGAAACTGGTCTGAGAAAGGTCACATAGGGTGTGCCCAAGACAGCAAAAGCAGGTATTCTTCCTGGTGACCAAGCCGAGAGTCCTTAATCCTATCAGTCTCCAAGCCAAGGATTTCAAAATCTGCCAAGGTTTGGGGGGGGGGGGGGGGAATTGGATCCCATTCCCCACTAGAAAAACTAAAGTGCCTATCACTTTAGTTTGGGCAGGGGCAGGAGATTCACAAACTTCCATCCTTGGGAGCCTCAAAGTTCACTTTCTAGAAAATAGCAATGATCGGCTCCGTGGACAAACACTTAGCTAAAGCCTCAATGGCCAGGGTTGGGAACCAATTGAGCTACCAGGTAAACAGCGAAGGCTCTAGACCGAATTCACCGAGATACTGACCAGCCTACAACCACCACCCCAAGGGCTGGCCCGGTCTGGATGCAAATTAGTTAAATGGGGCGTCCGGTGAGAATCTGGACACCGAGCGCTGAATCCCCCCGCCCCCCACCAGGGCCGGTCAGTTTCCTTTCAATTCCGCACCGGCCACCCGTCGCTCTCCTTTTCTCATACTAAGTAGGTCCTCCCGGCCCGCAGGCGTCCACTCCCCACTCCGCCCTGGGCTGGACGTTCTTCCTACCTCCCGACACAGATTAAGCGAACGATTCTGCTCCAGGAAAGGCCGGAGTCTGAGGACTGCAGCCATTATTACTGTTATTATCGTCGTCGTTATTATTTTCCCGAGGGGGTGCATTCCGACCTCCGAACCCCGCCCCACCCCCTGACAACTCACCCCGGGCGCGGGGACGTCTCCGCTGCTGCGTTGGGAGTGCAGTCCCACCCCAAAGCAGGCGTTCGGGGACTAGAACTTCCCAGCAGCCGGCGCTGCAAGCGCGGACCCGCCTCTTCCCGCCGCTCGGGGTCTTGCACGTGGGTAGGCGTCCCGTGCTGGGACCGAGGAGCGGAATCGTGCTCGCGACCCACCACTCTGAGATTCACGGCGACTGGGGCCCCCTACTTCCGCTGGCGCGCCGGTTGCAGAGGCCCGGGCAGGCCGCGAGCCGCCGAGTCAGGGTTCCGCCAGCGCCGCCGCCG